GTTCATGTACACTACTTACCAACAACATTGCAGAAACTCCAGAGACAGGGTCTGTGATCCAAACCCCTGTACAGGGTGGGAGATGAAGTCCCTTATCCAAGGTCGCAGGTCCAGTCAGTAGCTGAGAGGGATCGGAAGCCAGTTGCCCCTACCCAGACCGCTTCCAAGATCAGGCAAGGCCCTGAATAAGAAAGCTCTTGTTCCCTAGTAACTGACCCCTTCCTCATCCCGCGTCGGGGATGTAGGCTCCCTGAGCCAAATTGGGCTTATCTTGTTTACTGCTATGTTCCCTGAGCCTGGCAAATAGTAGGCACTTAAATATTTGTTGAATTATTATATTCTGGGGACATCAAAGCAAAAAGAAAGAATGGTGGGTGTGGAGAGAGGGTATAGCTCAGTGGTAAAGTGTTTTGCATGCACTAGGTTTGGGGTTCAATCCCCAGTACCTCCATTACAAAAAAAAACCAACTAAAAATAAATAAATAAAAAGAGGAAAGACTCCAGTGGTGGGAAGCTGGAAATCTTGGGTTCCACACTAGGCTTCGCTCCTTCCAACCAGGAGCCCTGAGGGCTGTCACAGGCAGCATTACCAGACAGGAAAGCTCCCAGGGATGACAGCTGCACCTCGCAGAGCGGTCGGGGACAGGAAGGGTAATCTCTCCATCACAGCATCTGGAAACATGCAGTGGGAGGTGCATTTGAGCTGTGGTCATCAGCAATGGGCCACAGAACCCCGACTTGTTTCTCCTGTCTGGGTCATAGTTCTAAAAACTCTTAGCACCTCTTAGTTTATAGTGGCAGGAGGGGTGAGTACTTTAAAAAGGAAATCTGTTAACAGAATACATTAACACACTTCATAGCGGTTAGAACATCATAGAAACTTTATAAATGCTTACATTTCTGGATGTTCTGAGGAAAAATAATACCAGGTCCCCTTCAATCCCCAGTGTGCCCTTCCTAGCTTATTTTAAGAAAACACTAACAGGAAAGTAGACTTTGGGCCTGACTTAATTAGGATTTTAATATATTGGATTAATAAATCTGCTTTTACAGTGTTCTTTGCAACCCCCCAAATCCCCTCCAGCCCTCATGCTGAGCCTTAGGGTTTTAAAACCCCACAGTCACAGGAACCATTGTTCTAAATCCAGAACCAAAAAGTTTGTGGTCCACAGATTTGCATCTGGCGCCCCCTGTCTGCCTTTTCCTCGCTGTCTCCCCATTCCACTGCTCCCCAACTCAGAGCTCCTCCCCGGAGCCCATCTGGCACTTAACACCCTTAGTACGGTTTGACCCATTTCTTTCCCCTTGTCATCAGCACCCAGAAGTGTTCCAGATAAATCGTGATGGCAACTTGAGTATAACAAAACTAAAAATGAACAAGATGAGCTGTGCGGCAGCATGCACTCTCAGCACCTCTCAGAATCTGAGCGCCTCTTGGCACTCCTCACCGCCGCCACCGCCCTGTGTCAGATGTGGAGACAACAACCGCATGGGGTGGAGGGGGGTTCGCACCCTGTCCCCCTCTGCTGGCTCACCGCTGCCTGCCTTGGTGAGGCCATCCCAGCTCCCCATGCGGCCCTAGTGTCCGGGGTCCCAGCGTGATCTCTCGCCTGGCCGTTCCTCTGGGGGCTGAAAAGCTGCTGCTTGTTGTAGGTGAGCAGCAGGCCCTCAGCTCCGTCTCTTCGATACCAGGCACTGGGCCCGGCTAAGCCTGAAACCTTCCCTCCCAGCCCCTCGCCAACTCTCCCTACCTCTCCAAGGCTCACAGCACCTCCACCTCCCCAGCTGTGTGAGGACTGAATGAGTCAAAGTACACGGGGGCAATGGATAAATGTGAAAAAACTGTCTGGCTTTGTCAGTTTCTGGCATGTTTGGGGAACTCTTGGCATCTCCCCAGCAATATAATGTAGACAAAGTGTGTTCTGAACCCAAGGTGAGGACAGGTGCTGGGACACCTTGGGGATCCCACCGAGGGCCTTCTCCAAGCCTGACCTCTGAGCCTCCCCAAGCTTGCCAACCA